GGGCTGCAATTAGCTGGCAGAGCAGACAGCAGGCCAGTCACACCTGCACCGGCACAGCACAAAGGGATATGAGTGAGCAAGCTGCTTTTAACTCCCCCCTTATCCATCTGGGATCCCTGACCACTGCTCCCAGGCAGGGAGACGTGGCAGCGGACGGGAAATCACAGGCATTTCTCTGGCTGTGTGCTCTCAAAGATCAGGGTGTCTCCCACAGAGGAGGGGTACTACAAACACAGGCACCCCCTAAATCGGCACAGCACAAAGGGATATGAGTGAGCAAGCTGCTTTTAACTCCCCCCTTATCCATCTGGGATCCCTGACCACTGCTCCCAGGCAGGGAGACGTGGCAGCGGACGGGAAATCACAGGCATTTCTCTGGCTGTGTGCTCTCAAAGATCAGGGTGTCTCCCACAGAGGAGGGGTACTACAAACACAGGCACCCCCTAAATTACGAGAGCCACAGCAGCCAGCGCCATCAGGCACAAATGGACATTTGCAGGGGGGCAAGTGGCCTCCCCAGGGAAAGTCCCTCACCTTCCCCTGCAGACGGGAGCGTCCCACAAGCTGGGGCAATATCCCCACTCTTCTCCCTCCCCCCGATGTCAGGCGCACAGCCCCGACTCTGGCCCTCTGAAGCCTGGGGAGATGGTACCACCATCTTCTGGCAGCCGCTGTGGCTCCGTTCCCCCCTCGTCCCCTGCTCAGTTGCCCCGCGGCACTGGTGAGCTCAGCCTGGTGCGTGAGTGGGGTTTGGGAGGAGCAGACCGTGGGGACTCAGTGGGGCTGCTGCCCTGTCAGAGCTGGCATTGTTCAATCCCATGGCCAGAAAGCAACTGTGAACTCCAGCGGGGCAGGGCAGGCCTGTGCAGAGACAGAAGACTAGATAAAAGAGATTTCTTTTTTTTCTTTTTCTTTTTTTTTTTTTAAGAGAGCAGGAAGGAGCGGGGAAGAGAGGCAGAGTCCAGGGCTCAGTCCAACTGCTCAGATCTGAGGCTACCAAAAATGCTGGCTGCTCTTGAAAGGGCTTCCTGCCTCCCCCACCCTGCCCGCCTGCCTCGCTGGCCCCCACTGCAGAGACCCTGTTGGCCTCGAGCGAATTTGGCTCGTGGGGAGAGCACAGGAACACAGTGGCGACAGGAATGAAAAGCAATGGGGAGGAGGACACCCAGGAGACTCATCCTTATCGAGGAAGAGTATTATATCAAAGCGGAGCTGTGAAGACCGGGAAGAACCTTTTGTAAAACCCGCAGCTGAGCCAAATCCTGCCATTTTTACATGTTGGTCCCTCAGGAAACCCCTCATGAAAACCGCCCCGACAGCGGATGCCTGCGTGAGGCCAGGCTGCGTGCCGGCCGTGCTGCACGCACCGCAGTAACGCACCCACCGCACAGCCGCTGTTTGCCCTGCGCCTCTGCTTTGTAATTACAGTGGGTGTTTGCAAAGCATCTCTTACAGAAAAGACAAATTGCATTACTCTCCGCTTACTACAGTCACACTCATAATTTCTCAACAGCTAATTACACGCCGGCAGCAGTGTCACTGTAATTAAAGCCAGGACACACATCTGGGGAGCCTGGAGCCGAGCTGTCGCACAGCCCCTTCCCCGCGCTGCTCAAACCAGATGGACCGGCCAGAGCCACGCTCAGCCGCTGCACTGAGCTCAGCCTGTCCAGGCCTCGGCCCCCCATGCCAGCCCGGCAGCTGCGCTGCTGTGCCGTGATGGAAGATGAGGCACCTAAGGCCGCTCAGCACAGGGAATGAGTCTCCGGCACTGAACCTCCCCAGGTCACGGCTGGGGCAGCTGCGTGGACTCTGCTGCGTGGGGTGGGGAAGGGTGAGGGGAAACACTTAGCCTTGGGGTTACAGCACTGAGGCTTGGCGAGGGAAAGGGGGTTGACTACTGATTCCACTGCTAAATGACTGCAATAAATCACCTTGCCTGTCTAAGCCTCCATTTCCTTGCATGTGAAACAGATTTTTGGGCTTTCCTGATAATGCTCTGGGGACAAACCACAGAAAGGAGTCTTGCCAGTACCCGTCTCACACGAGTGCTTTAAAGCCTGTGTAGAGGTGACACACCAACAGACTTGGCAGTGAATTATGTAGGGGAAAGCATGGAGCCCTAGAGACTACGAGTCCCAGTGAACAGAGAGACACCAAAGGAGCTTACAGACCTGTGGGAAGCCGGGAGCTGGCTGGAGAGCCAGCCCTGCCCCTGCACTGCTGCATCTTGGGAGAAAAGCAACAGAATCACAGAATAGTAGGGGTTGGAAGGGACCACTGTGGGTCATCTAGTCCAACCCTCAACGCAGGTGTGCAACCAGCCATGCAGGCAGCACAGCCCGACACCGGCCCCAAGCTCGGGCACCTGGGAAATGGAGCTCTCCAGAGCCCAGGAGAGCCCAGCTGGGACCAGTTAAAGTTTGGGCAAGCGAGGGCTCGACACCAGCACTGACCTCCTGCTGCCCAGGGGATGCTTTGGAGAAGATCACCCCCAGAAAGATGAAGCACTAATTAGGGAAAGCAGATAAAATACTGCATCTGTTTCAAGATGAGTTTCCTTCCCACTGAAATCCTCACGGTTTCAGGGCTCAGCAGGATGCAAACACATCCTTAAAAGACTTCCTGGAGCCCTGGTTTCAAAGATCAGTCCCTTCAAAAGCAACAACATGCCAAGATCAATAGCAGCCCCAGGAAAGCTCAGAGTATGCCAGCTCCAAAACCACTGAGCTATCACTGCAGCCAATTACCTATCAGACGCTAAGGGGCAATTCTACCTTTTCACATTCGAAAAGGCTACTGAGACTTCCGAAGCAATCAGGTTTACTTCAACAACAAGAAAGAAAAAACAGTAGGAAAATTTGCATTTCAGAAACAATGTGTCCTGGAGAAGCAAACCCTGCTTCACGGGGAGGAAACCAGAGGATACAGTTCACAAGCAAAGAGGGGCAGAGCTCACAGGCTCCTGGATGTGATCCCAAGAACAAGAATATGTTCATCTGCTCCTTGAACGATTTTACTACTAAGTCTCTGAAGTCACCCATAAGAAGTTCTGGGAAGCAGATATCAGATAATCATTTTTAATTCAATACAAGTTACAAGCGAAGAACGAATGATCAGAACCTCACAAGGAAAAAGCTGAGTGGGGTGTCCTATGCATGCTAGAGGCAGCATGTTCAAGATATTTATTTGTGGCCCAGTAATGAAATGGCAGAAGACAACATACGGAGCTAGCAAAGGACATCAGGGAAATTTCAAAGAGCTTGTGGAAAACTTGAAAACATCTGTGAAACAGAGCAAATAAAAGCAGATTAAATTCAATATAGAGAAATATGTAATGCCTGGCTGTGATAAAACCAATATGAAGGATAGATATATACTGATGGGTTTCAGTTAGCAGCTCTTTTCACCACCATTAAATCTCTTATACAGATTTGTGGAAAAAATGCAGCAAGAAGGAAGCAAGAATCTGTTAGCTCCCGATTCATCCCCTCTTATTTAGAGCTTATGAATGAAACTGGGTCTGTAAAGAGGAAAAGTATTCCTTTGAAAAGGATAAAGAGGACAGAGGCAGAGTTAAGAATCAAAGCTGGCAAATCAAGCTACAGCTATAGAAGCATTTTGAAAAAAAAAATAACTTAGTACAAGGAACTTACCTAAGAAACGGCTCAACACAAAGATTATGCCCAACAACCTATACTTATATTGGGAAAAAAAAAAAGTGTTTTACAGTCCAGGGCATTCACTGAACTAAAGCTAACTAGCTCTCCTTGGAATAGCGTTGAAATCTATCCAAATGGGAGAATTCCAGTCAGAGGTCAGTATTTTTGTTCCTTAAAACACGTGGGCAGCGTCAGAGCATGCCACAAGAACGCAATGCGTGAAAAGCAAAGGCAGGATTCCCAAGAGCTTCAACCTTCCTCTCGCTACCTGGAGCCTCTGGCAGCGTAAGCTCACCTCCAGGCTCTGACCAGAGCCGCTCTCCCCGCTCCATCGCCCCACAGACACACCTGCGCGCTGCCGTCCTACCTGGAGCTAAGTGGGATTTTCCACGCAGGCTGTGTGGCATCTCAGGGGTCCTCCCAGCACACCCCTGCCTGGCCCAGGGCTTGAGAGGAGAGCCTCTTCTCCAGAGCAGCCCGGCTGTTCCCCCGTGGGTGAGAGGCTGGGTCAGTCCCAGTTCTTGTACTGGGCACTAGATGGCACAGATGGGAGTGAATTCGAAGGTAGCCAGCCTGCGATCTGTGGCGTTTCAGATGAGGGGGTCTGCCAGTTGTCCAAAGGAGGCAGCTGCCATGGGGTATGCGCTACCATGGGGGTATCCCCTCCATATCCCCTCCATGCCTCTGCCATGCTGTGTCCCCTCAGAGTCCTGTCCCGTCCAACCAAAGGGTCGCCTGAGCTGCACCGAAGCTGGAGAGCCCTGCAAGAGCCATGGCCTGCGACCATGACCCTGCCTCCTGGACATGACCTACTGTTCCTCACCAAGGACAGGCTCACTGCCTCCTGCACACAAGTGGCTTGTTCACGGAGCAGCCCTGTATTTGGCTCAAACTGCATCAAAAAGAAGGTGGAAATCCTCCCTGGGATCGCCTTTCCTGTTGCACCGTGAGGCTGCACCTTGGGCATCAGCCTGCTGGGTGATAAATACTACCGGAGACCAGGGAGTGCAGGGAGGGGTGCCGAGGGCCGGGCACCCGCCTCGTCAGCAGTCCCTTGGCATGCAGGGTGGGTCTGGGGAATGGCACCCAGGCACCTTGCCTTTGGCTGGTGGGATAATGGTGCAAAGGAGGGAGGCACTTGGTCACCGCTCTTAAAAGCATCTTTCACAAGGTAGCTCCTCTAAAGCAGCTCAGTCTTTTCCCTCTGGTTTTATTTCTTTTCAGCACTGCTGCCTGCAGTCACTGACCTGTGCCCAGGAGCCTTCCCAACCTCATCTTCCTCAGTTTCCTTAAGGTGTGGATGAAATTCCTTACAAGTGAACTATGTGGACTGACGCGATGAGGCCAACATGGGCTAAGCCCCGCAAAACTGCTGTGGTAAGCACAGAAAAGGCCAAAGCATTTTTTATAGCGAGGAAAAAAGCAGAGGAAGAGGGAAGGTTGTACATTGGCCTCTGTGGTTCTGACATTAGAAATTCACTTTACTTCAAAGGTTAACACAGTTAATGCATCTGGCGAAGACGATGGGCCCTGACAGCCTGTCTGGAAAGGCTCCATCCGTAGCACTGCCCAAGGGGCAGCGTGGGCACCGAGACGAGGAGCAAGCTTTGTGCGCAAGGCAGAAGTGGCACACATGAGTGTTATCCAAACCAAACCTGAACCTGGCAAAGCCCAAAAGAGTTTTTGTGCTGAGCGGCTCGGTGGTGCCAGGTATTAATGACACAGGACGCCTGTTTGCTGAAGGGAGCAGCCCTGGACAGGCTCCTGGGAAAGATCAAGGTGGGCAGCACTACCTTTCCCTGTCTGCTCGTGGCATTGCCCTGAAGACTGAAGAGGGACTAGGGATCACCTAAGGTCAAACCCCACAGGCTGAATCCCTCAAGGTGTCATAGGTGAGAGACAAAACATAAATCACACAACAGCAGCACAAGATCCAAATTCATCAATGGTGTAAACAGGGCAGTAGGTCAGTTTGGCTCAGTGGCTCTTATCTTTCAAAGGCTGGAGTGGGTGACACTGGAGACCAGGGGACAAGCTGGAGGGAGGCTCATGCTAGCTCCAGGGGCAGCTCCAGTCCCGTGTCCAGAGCCTGGCTGAGCAGTACAGAATAGCCAGAGCAGCCCCTTCAACACTGGGCTTTTATCGACAGACTGCGAGACCTGCTTCCGATCAACCATCCAAGCCTAAACGCTGGGTCACTGGGGCGTGACAACCTGGTTCTGAACGGTTCCTGGTCAGAGAAGAAAATGCTTCAGAGAAGGCCTTTATGCTCCAATTGCCACTTCCAGCCCTGCTTCTTGTACTCTTCAGCTGCTCTTTAAGTACTTGGATTTTTTCAGCCAAGAGATTTGTTTTGATCTTTGGATGGAGAAAAACTAGTCAAGCTGGAAAGAAATACAAACAGCTGGTCACTTTTCCAGGTCTGCCATGAACTGTAAATGAGTTTTTTAAAGTTTTTTATAAAGTGCTGAGGCCTTCGGAGAACATGAAAGTCTTAGTCAGGTGTGTCATCCTCCTCAGCAGAAGGACATCTTATGTGTCATCCTGACGGCTGGACTTGTGTCACTCTGCCAGAGCCAGCAATGGTGAGAGCACTGAGCTTTGCGTGCAGACACCACTCCAACCAGCTGCCAGCATTCTCACGTGCTGTGCCTGCGCAGATCAGACCTCCGCTGTCTGGGTGTCTGGCCTCCAGCGCCTGGTCCACTTGCTCCCCAGGGGCCTGCGGTTGCTTTCAGTGGTTTAGCACTGCTGCTAAGATGCTTAGAGCCAGCATAATCTGCGCACTTAGTGGTTTCAAACTCCAAAAGAAGCTTAGCAGCACCAGGCACTGCTTTCACCCTCTCCTGCATGGCTTAAGATGGTTTAATTCTTTTATGAAACTGTAACTCCAGCTCACAGCCTTAAACTGTGGAGGTCCCTTCTAAGCCAGGTTTTCTAAAAGCTCTTTAGAAATATTTTTATGAGACACATAAAAAAGGGATCCCAGAGGGACATAATATAAGATCAGATATTTCCGCCTCTTAAAGACTGGAAATGTGAGACCCTCAAGGTGAGGTGCATTTCAAGTCCTTGCAGGGCTTTCTTCCACTGTTTCTCCTGTCTTAGATCAGCCTCTCAAAGGCTCTGATGTATGATAATGCCTGGAGAGGTCCCAAGGCCTTCCCCTACACATCCCACCAGCCTTGTGAGAGCGTCAGGAGGCAAGCAGCCATGGCTGCGCCCCAAACGCAGTGGCTGAAGAGCAAAGCAGCCCCCTGGGACCATGGACTGCTCCTGGACATGCCACTTCCCAGCATTTGCTTCATTAACTGCCTTTGCTCTGCTTTTTTTTCACTTTACTGCCCCCCCTTACTGACCCAAAGCACGGGGTGTTACAAAGGAGACCTTGTGCTGGTGCCTCGAAAGGCCTCGTCCCACTCCCAGAGACTCTCCTTTCCCTTTCTGTAGGGCTTCTTGTGGGTCTGCCAAGGGAAAGCAGAGAGCTGGGGAGGACGGAAAAGGTGCCTGGAAAGCACGTGCGGGGCCAGGCAGCAATGGAGAAGGCGGAGGGCCAGCGCAGGGAAG